TCACTGGAGTGGACGACACATTTTACATAAGATGGTGAAAACTTGGTCAGATCACTTTTTAAAAATGATGGAAGAGTTCACTAAGTTGAGCAACATTGAAAGAGAAGCAAATAAGGAGAGATCGAAGAATGAACCACCAATAGATTTAGGGAGTGACATATATTTTGGTGCATTTTAGTTCTAATCTAACAATGTAACACGTTTTTTTTGTATCTAACGCACTACATAATGTTATAAAATTGGATGGTATATTTTAAGTATTTTTTGTGTTTTGAAAATTGGCTCAACATAATCAATTGGTTCTGAACTGCATATTTTTTGTGTGAATTCGGATATGCACCTCAGAACACACATTTTCATTATTTAAAACAAAACAAAATAGGAAACATTATGGATGTGCATCTTCGGATAAACTCTTGTTTTTTATAAAAAAAAGGTTGATCCAGAGATGTATCTCTGAAGTATTTCCAGATGATACGATAGAGTTTGTAAGGTCCTTATTGATCTGTAACTTCTATGAATAGGGTCTCTCATTTCATTTTTTGTACAAAAACCATAACGAATATTTACCCCCATCTTACATTTGTGTATTTAAATGGCGTAAATCTTCTATTTCAGTTTAGGGTCTCTGAGGACATACTTTTCGTTGATCTGAAATTCAAACTGAATACTCAAATGTAATATTTAGAAAACCGGAGAGTTGTCAAGCTCTAGTTTTGTTCATCCTGTATTGACAACGAAGGGAAGATACATTTCATCATGCTTGAACTGAAGACAGATGATGATTTGAAGGTTATGTGGAGTGCCCTTTACCGTTACTCAACAAAGGGTTTGATTGAAGTGGATGCGATAATTCAAAGATCAACCGAAGATATTATAAGAATGTTGCAACATTCTGAACCATCTATTTTTAATGACATGTAATGTTTATCTATGTAATGTTTACTTTGATGTTAACTTATGTTATTTTTTCATTCTGATATTGTTTGTCTGAACTATCAGAGCATATTCCAGAAATATATCTTCGAATATCTTACAATATAATTAATTAAGGGGAGTTTCAGAGATGCATCTCTAAATCAATTTTTTTACATACGGAGATGCATCTCCAGACATATTTTAAACAGAACAAGGGTTTCTAAATAATTTTGCTAAAATGTGTATAAAAAATAATACGTTCGAAGATATATCTTCCAATACTATAGACACTTAAGAGTTTTTAGAGAGAGGGAAGAACACCTAAGGTTGAAACATGTTTTAACGAGAGTAATAATATCATCACCCTTTTTTGGATTTTTGGAGTTAAACATGTTTTAACGAGAGTAATAATAAACAAGTGACTTAATAATTTGTATTGCACTTCATCTACATTATTTTAATCAATTAAAGAAAATAAAGGTAACTTACAAGCATGTAAGAGTGGGAAAAGATGTTGTGTGTGGGAATTTAGGTGCAGAGGATATTCGCCAAGTGACTCAAAAGGCATACAAGAAGATAAGATACGAGATGTGTTTCTTATCCTAGAATTTTGTTGGATAGCAATATTATGTATACCAAATAATTTAAAATAATTAAAAAGAAAAAGTCACATATTTTAAATGATTAATGAGAAAAAGTCACACGATATTAAATGATTGAGGCTAAATATCATACCAAATAAAGTTTTAAAGTATTAGAGTATATATCTATAAGAAATGAACACGCCTTTCTCTCTTTAAATATTTTCTCAACTTATCTCTAATCAAATGGTTTCAACTTTTCTCCTCGATCAAAATAGTCGGTTGTAGAAATGGACTAATTTAAACCATTTAATTGAAACGGATTGATTCATCATTTTTTTTGGTACAAATTAATTGGGTCAATTGATTTGGTTGTTTAATCATAGTATATGATTGTTTCAGTTGGACTCGGATGATTATTTTAAATTCTTCAAAAATCAAAATTGAGCGAACTTAATATATATATATATATATATATATATATATATATATATATATATATATATATATATATATATATATATATATATATATATATATATATATATATATATATAATTTCTTTTTATTACTATATGACTGATTCAATATAAAAATGAGATTAATAATGTTGTCAAGATATTGTCATTTTTATAATTTAATAGTGGCATTGTATACTCTTAAAAATATAAGACATGTAATATAAAATGTTGAGTATTATTTGATTTATGGCTTAAAGTATGATAATGATGAAATTAATGTCAAATGATATTGAAAATATTATCACGTACTAATAAAAAAGTAGTTCTTTAGACTATTTTAAAATTTTGATGATTTTTAAAATAAAAAATAAATATTTGTGAATTTTATTAAAAAATGAATCCTTTTATAGGTTTACTATAATAAATATTAAACCGACTTGATTTATCCGCCAAACCGACTTAACCAAATCCGACAAAAATCGAAACTTTATCTGTCGAAATTGGATTATAAAAACAAAACTGTGGTTTGCGTTAGATTTAAGTTTTGGGCTCAAAACTGACCGATTGTCCAACCCTAATTGATTATAATATGGCCTTTAGTTTTGGTAGGGAGACGCCTCCTAGGCCGCTCCACCCTTAACATCTTTTAAGGTTGCAAAGTTGTTGTTGATATGAAGGTTGTCTCCTTACAACAACTATTTGGATGGCAGAGCTTATTGGTCCTTGGCACGCATTGGTTCTAGTTTCAATGGTGGTAGGCTCTTTCTAGTTCTTTCTACATTCTATTATGATTAGCCGTTTGTTGGATTCTGAAAAAAGTTGGTCTGACCATTTTTGGATCTTTCGTTGTTTCAAACGTTTCTTTTTTTTTTTTGGAGAAAAGGTTATGTGGGTTTTTCTCAATCCTACGATTTTGAGTTCTCTAATTTAATTTATGGATAATGGGTTCAGTTTTGATCAATCTATTTACGACGAGTTTTAATTTGTGGGTTCATGCTTGAATTCATATCTTTTCTCGTCTTCAGTAGTCTCTTGGATCTAAATCTTGGTTTTTGTCATTAATATGAGTCAATTATGATTGATTGTCACTATACTCTTGGCTAGAAATGACTATTGTTACACATTGTTGTGTGTTTTAGTGTAGTGAGTCGTTGGTTTGTGAACTTGTTTTTGTGTTGGTGGTCAGATTCATATTTCTCCATATTTTATGTTAACTAATATAACTATATTAAGACACGCGCTATGCGATAGTTGTAATTTAGTTTAGGCTTAAATGCACTTTTGCTTCATGTAAGTTAACAAGTTTTTTATTTTGATTTTTGTAATTTGTTTTTCTCTGAATTCTTATATCTCATTTAGCTTTACGGACTAAACCGCACCCAAAAATGAGAAATAGTGATTCAGACAAAAAATAATAACTACAGAGACCAAAATTAAAAACTCGCTAATTTACGGGAACCAACAAACTATTTAAACCTTTAGTTTATTTACTTTCTATTGAACTTTAAATATGTTAAAAAATTGTTTTGAAAAAAATAATTAATAAACTTATATTATAATATATCCTCGTATTTGAGAAATAAAGAATCTTTGTATTTAGTTTATTTCTTCAATATTAAATGAATAATATAGTAGTGAAGCATATATACTCAATAAAATCATTATTGCATATTTTCTTATATTTTAATATCAACTAGTAACTTTACATTACATATTTTTCATTTTTACTTGTTAGGTATGAAATTTATTTTACAGTTTATAAATATTCACATAGTTTCAAATATATACTAATATTATACATCAACTTTTAAACATTGATCCGTATTTATAATAAACTGTACAACTGTTTTTCTAACTTCAGTTATAGAAAATGGTAGCAAAAGAAAGATTTAAAATATGGATATTAAAATGATTAGTCTATAGCTGACATCTCATAGATACATTCACATCTACCTATAAATTATTCTTGCAATTCCAATAATTACTAAAATCCTGTTGAATTCAATTCTAAAAATTAAGTCGTTTTTCCAATTCAAATAATATTACTTTTTAGATTTTAATTCATTTAATTCAATCACCCAAATTTTCTTTTTTGTTTATATTCTAAATGTAACTAATAATTGCATAACACGTTTTTCTTTTACAAATTAAAAACAACTTTTCATTTTTCATAAAGCAACTCAATAGAAACATTGAAATTGAAAAAAATCTCTTCATCATTATCCATCGACTGAAATTAATATACTTGAACAAAATCCAAAATATATTTTCTTATATCTTAATATCAATTGAAAGTAAATTATCTTAGAAAATTATGCAAGAACTACTTTGACGTTAAAAGTATTTGTTTCAGAGTATTATTTTTATTACTATAATTATAAGTAAATACAAATATTTTATAGTGTTTAGATTCACACATCTATTTTAATTTTGAAATACATAGTTGGAGTAATGGTTATCTTGTTAAACTATTTAATTTAAAAACAATTTATTTTGTCCGAGATTTGACCCCGTGACCTTTAATAAATGATAAATATTATATTTAATCTTTTAAATAATGAAAATAAATTTTGAGAAGTGTTATATAAAACTATCGGATAATGTAACATAAATGAAATTAAAATGTTAGCATTAGGATGCGTGCTTCCAAATTATAAATAGATTTTATGAGACTAATTGCTTCTTTGATCGATAATGAAATACAATGACTCTAATACTTCAAAAAGCAAAATCTATATTTTCCAACACCAAAAGAAAATACTGCTTGCATTATAAAAAGTACATTTTCTTAACACCACTACTATACATTTGAGTAAAAAAAAACACATTTACACAAGAACATGTTAATATGTAAAGATTTTAATAGATATTCATTAAACTTATATATGAAAAGGTTTTACACAATCATTTTCTCATATCTCACCATATAAGTATTTATCTAAATATTTTTGAAATCAAAACAATGGTGATATATAAGTGAATAATTATGTAAAACCTTTTTTAACTCACTCTATTAAAACTTGATTGTAGAAAAACCCTATTAATGGAATGTAGAAGCATCATCCATTTCTTCCAATTCTATCCCCACTTCAGCAAGCCTCTTCTCCTTGTAAACATACCACTTAGCACAAGCCAAATATATTACCACATTTATAGCACTTAGCATAGCCAATAGCCAATAAAAATCATATAACCTTCCTTGGTTAAGATTATCTGCAATCCATGGCTTATTAGGACCAGTCACATTGTTCACAATAGTCACCAATAATGAGCTAAAGAAAAACCCTAAAGAGAGTGTGCTTAAGAACAATCCAGTACTCATAGTTTTCATCCCTTTAGGGCATTCTCTTAGGAAAAAATCTAATTGTCCCATATACATAAAGGCTTCTCCGGATCCTACAAGGAAAAATTGTGGCACTAACCAAAACACACTCAATGGCATTTTCGCGGTTGGATTGTCGATAAAACCATGCGATCGCGCGAAGTTTAAGCGTTTTATTTCTATGAGCGCGGCCGCAACCATGGCCAATACGGAAAGGACTAAACCAACGCCGATGCGTTGTAAAGGGGAGAATCCGTGTGAGTTGTTTAGGAGTTTTTTTGCAACGGGACGAATGAATCGGTCGTAGAAAGGGACGGTTAGGAGAATTGTTCCGATTAAAAAGACAGTCATTGATGCGGCGGGGATTTGAAATGATTTTCCAATGTGACAATCCATTGTTGTTGCTTGTGAGACTGAGAATGTTGTCATTTGAGCATGGATTGACCAAAACATTATGGTTGTGGCCCAAATTGGTAACATTCTTATTACCAATTTTACTTCTTCTACATCGGTTAAAGTTGAAAGATACCATTTCTCTTTGATTGTGATTTCACTTCCACTTTCTAAGACTCTGATTGCTGCTTTGTCTAAGAACCTGTTTATTAAACAAAATATATAACCATTAATTCTTTACTAGATTATATTAAAACTTTTTTTTGTCATCCAACTTAGTTTATAGATATACAGAGACATCTGATTTTTGATGCAAATTCGAACATGTGACATCTTAGTTATTCATTTTAGTGGTACAAATTCGAAGCACAATTATTAGTTTCTTCTACTATTAATCTCTAGTGTGGATTTCTAACTATTATCATGTTACAAATAAGCCTAAATAATCAAGTTGTTCATTTTTTGGCCCACAGAGAAATATCTGATCCCCAATCATTTGTTTTTTTTAGAGCAAGTGGTTTCCAATAATGAACCATGTCGTTGTTTTAGGTGTATATATGGCCCTTAATTAGTAACTAGAAAGTGAAACTCTCATGCATGTTGCAAGATCAACATCAAACATGGCCCCCACATTCACATTCTTATCACATGTGTTGAATCCAACTATTTATCTAAAGTTTTTGCATTTATTTGAAACTTAGGAGGAGGGTTGAAAATGAAAGGAAGAAAAAAAAAGGAGGATATATAGTCTCCATATTAACTATATGGTAGTTTATGTATTTATTTTGCAAAAGACTAAAAGTCCCAAAGTTAGGAGCATTAGAAAAATCAGGTATGAAGATTTTGGACGGTTAAAAAGTCTATAAGAAAACTAAATATTAATATAGTTATTAATTGAACTGAATTAATAGAATAGTTAAAAAATTAAATATTCTTAAAATTTAATTCAATCAATAATATTATTAAATTTTAAATTTTATTGTAGTATTTTATCTTCAAGTTCAGAATCTCCAATTTTATTGTTCTTAGAAGAGAATCCATCCATGTTCGAAACAAATAAAATAGGTACTTTTAAAATGATAAATTTCTCAATCATTAGGATATAAATAAATAATTGAATGAAAACTAATTTAAGATTATTGTAGTCAACCATCACTATAAATTATATTTGAAAAAAATCAGTGAATTATTTTTTTCATAATCAACCCTCCAATAATAATAGATTTTAATTTCAACATCTATGATATATTACTTTTTTTACACATAATAAAATCACATCAAATTTCAACTTTTTAAAATTAATTTTACTGTCTTGGTGTAACAAATTAAATTTATCATAAAGAATCATTATAAAAAAATGAATAGAAAAATTACCTGAATTGTTTGCTATGTGGCATCCTTTGCTTCTTGTTCTTAGGTGTTTCACATAGAACATCATCTTCTTCATAGAGCAATGAAGAATCTGATGGCAATTGCATGTGTCTCTTCCTCCAAGCAGCCACAAACACCACTGCAATTTGTGTCAATGGACTACCAACAAGTTGCTTAATTCGGTACTTTCGCGTCCCCGACAAATAAACCAGAACCGCAACCACAATCGCGACCGCGCATATACCATAACCCCAATCCCTACCTATGTTATCTTGTATGTACACAAGAACAGTCACTGCTGCCAATGATCCTATACTCACAAAAAAATAGAACCAGCTGAAAAACTTAATCATACCCTTTTTTTCGTCTTTATCTGATTCATCGAATTGATCCGAACCAAAGCCGGAGACACTCGATTTTAAACCGCCCGTGCCGAGCGCCGTGACGTAAAGTGCTAAATATAGTACCAATAGTTGTTTGCTGTTTGCTTGTATGCAAGGTGATTTAGAATCTGTTGTGCATTTTGGTGGATGTAGACTTGGAACTATAGTTGATATCGTCAATATTGTTACACCCTAGGGTAAAAATATACATTCGGTAAGATCAAAGAATTATACAATTGATTATTGATTGAAAATACTATATAGTAAAAAAGAACATATAAAAAATCATAAAATAAATTGAGATTAATAACTTACAATTGCTTGAACAACTGCAAAGATCGTAATGGTAAGATATCTGATACAAGAGACACAAATCAGTAGATATTTTTTTTTATGATTTAACGATTATAATTAATTGATAGTATAAAATATTTTTTAAAAATTTAAAATCAAACCTTCCTAAAAAAGTATCGGCCAGAAATCCACCCAACAAACAAAGCATGAAGGAAGTTCCCAAGAAGTTAGTGACAACATTGGCGGAAACAGCATTGCCCAAATGCATAGTGCCTGTCAAATATGTGACTAAATTCACAGCGATGCCGAGCGTTGTCAGCCTCTCCATAACTTCTCCTCCAAGTATCATGGCGGCCGCCGACCAACCACCGGTGGCCGCCCTGTCAGCTGGACGACCCTTATAGTCTGAAGCATCTGGGACAGATTTTCCTTGTGTTGTAGGGAGAGTACTCATATTGTAGGATATGATATGAGTTGGATTGGCATGAGAGGTTTGCGGTTTTGTACTTTATATATACATAATTAGAAGGCAATTTAAGGGCCTACAAACGACTTTGATTTATTAATTAATGTTGATTCGTCATCAATAACTACATCTAGTCCTGTTTGTGGCTATAACCAACCCTGGTTAGAATTATACAACTATATGAAAACAATATAATACTCCAATCAATATATAATACTCCAATCATAGTTCTTGAGATAAGACAAAGTAATAAAGTTAAGATATATTTTGATACTTTTGGAGTTGGCGATGTTTTACAATTGGTAAACAACAATGATTTTAAACTTTCAACAATATATAGTTATTTTCTACATAGTTCTTTCAGTCATAGTACTGATGAAAGTTTTGGAAATTAAATTCAGAGGTTGAAATTTTGTGGAAAGCGTATAAAGGCCAAGATGCATAGTTGCATACTAGTAAGTCTATAAAGCTCATAGTAAGTCAGTCTATAAAGCTCTGGATTCCTAAACATCAACCCTAACTTCATAAGGGAAAACATTTGTTGTTAGGTTATCCTATTAAACACATGTCAAAAATACTTCGGCCTTTGTCAAAGAACTCGTACATGAGGGATTGTATAGTGTTATATTTAAAAATACTTGTACAGTTAGGGCCTCAAACATCACTGTGAAGAATAGAATTTTTTTTATTGTTTATAAGAATATATTAGAAATTAGGAGTAATGATGTTTTACAAACTCATATGCTTCACATTTAAACGAAGAAAAGTTCTTATTATGAAATAACTTGAAAAAAATGTTTTAAGTGACGAAAACTAAGATGACCCAATCGTAAATGTTATATCATAACATTTTCATCTTTATTATTCAAAATAGAAAAAGATTCAAAGCAAAAATTTATTGTGTTTTAAGATTATTGTGATGCAGATAAAATGTCAAGGTAGTAGAGTCCTCCACTCTCCTAGACACTTTCAGTCATTTTTCCGAGTTCAAATCCTGAAAGATAGAGAGATAAAAAAAAATTAGTTTAACAATTTGTATCTTGAGCTAATTTACTAACGAACATTAAATTATATGATAAATTTGAAACTTAAAGGATACTTTTAAGAGTTAACACTGGAGACAACACAACTAACTATTTACCTATAATGGTTAAAAAGGATTCATCTGCGATTTTTTTACATGAACACTGACTATATGAAGAAAACAAAATAGATTCACCTACTATGTGATTAGACTCACCTGAATCTACTATCTAAATATGACTAGGACTGACACTATGATATGCCTAATTACCTTTTGTTTTTATAAAGCAAGAAGGAGTTGGAGACTCGAGGAGTTTGAACAATTTGCCTAGTTGTTCCGTAGTGAGTATAAGTTGAGTCGAAGAGGATTGTTGTCCTTGATTAGAATTACTAGATTGAAATGCACAACCACCTTTCTTCTTCTAGATATGAGGTTTGCCTTTGAGTTTCTAACAATTTTCACATGTATTCCATTCGCACACGCAGTGACCACACCAAGGAACTTTGTCTGACCTTTTTCCCTCATCGAAGTTCCTAGCAGCCAGAGTTGAGCCTTCAGATTCAATACTTTGTGGCAGTTTACCCATCATAATTTCTTGTTGTGCCTCCTCCCTTATTATTTATGTAAAAGATTTATGAAGAGTTGAAAATGGTATTTTTTTTCTAAAACTCTACCTCATACCTCATAAAGGTCTTTATTCAACCTAGCGAGAAACATGAAGATAGGATCATTTTTTTGCCTCTTGAGAAACATAATATTATCTTTTGTGCACCTCCAATTTTCATAATAACAGAGATCCAACTTCTATCATAGGGTCAACAACTCATTGCAATAAGCAATTACACTTCTGTAACCTTGTATCGCATGTCATAACTTTGATTTTAAACCAAAATTTTAGGAGAAATTTTGAATATCAGAGTATGTTTCCTTAATAGCTTTCAACATATTCTTTGTAGAAGACAAAAACATGTAAGATTTACCTATTTCAATTTCCATAGAGCTTACCAACCAAGCAATAAGCAAGGAGTTTTCAAACTTACATTGTTTGTAAAAGGGTCTTCTCTTGCCGTTTCAATTACTGTTCCTGTAAAAAAAAATACTATTATTCGTGTTTCCATGCATTATAGTTATTCCCATTCATCTTAAGAATATTGAATTTGAGGGAGTATGAGGAACCTTTTTTTTTATCAATGTGGTCTATGTGGGAATTATTATCACCATAAACACTATTATTCGTGTTTCCATTGTTGTCGCCATTACCATCACTATTTACAACCACTGTCGTTTCCTTTAGTATGTCATCTCTATGACCATCGTTGTTTCCTTTAACAATTCCATATTTGTGGCCACCACCACCACGATCACTGCCATCTCCTCTGTCGCATCCATTCTTGCGGTCGTCACTGCAATCGACGCCCGACTCAGGTGGTTGCTCGCCATATAAGACTATATGGACATGTAAAGCAAGTCGAATAAGGAAACGGGTTAAACAAAGCCCCACTAGTTGTGAAAAATTTTTAAGTTGCACCCATAACCTAGTGCTCTGATACCATATTGAGAGGAATACAATTAATTTTCTCATTTAGAAAATAAACAGATATAATATATATATATATATATATATATATATATATATATATATATATATATATATATATATATATATATATATATATATATATATATATATATATATATATATATATATGTCTGTGTGTGCGCGTGTGTGTGAGTGTGTGTTATATTTTAGATAAGTTTATAAATAAATTATTCAAATTTTTTTAAATATTTATTTATCTTTTCTTAGAGTAGCAAAGTGAAGTTTTAATTTTGTTAGTTAGGATTTTAGACGAAGGAAAAACCTCAGCAAACAAGGACAAAGACGAAAAGTCTTAGTTCGACCAAAATATGGACTTAGTGAAATTTTCGGATGTTGCAAGAGTCATTTCGACTAAGTGATGGAATTGACCGCGTAGTCCTTACTATAAGGGAAAATCGATCGATAAGGCAGTTATTTAAGCGCGTAGCGTTACGTTCGAATATCAATAACTGCATGTAGTGTTCTTTCCGAATAGACACATGGAGAAAGCACAGAGGTATGTTGCATGCAGAGCTTCACGTGGTGAACTCTGAAGATAGAAATGTTAGGAGTAGTTATTTTATACTTGTATATGTAGGAGTTCATTATGTGAAATTTGGGGTGTTTATTGTATTACAAAAAGCTCACTAAAAAACTCAAAGTAATGGCATCTAAATAAGCGAGCGAATGGCTGAGAGAATGTAAGAACAAATGAACTACCAACCTTTAATTTCAATGCAAAGTTTTTAATTTTAACTTTTCACTTTGATTTACTTCCTTTACTTTTCAATATCGTTCAAGTTATTTCATTTTGCATTTCCAGTTTTTATCATTTCTTTTACACATTTCTGAAGTAGTCGAAGTCGATGTCTCTACGTGCTTATAGTTACTTAAGACCCTATTTTCGACCAAGTTGAAAATAGTCACGTAAACATTAGAAAATAAAAAACAAGTAGTTATTTAGAACTATATCCTAGGATTCACTGGTTGATCCTGCAAGTAACCCTTAATTTGGAGACCAACGGTTGTTTACCATTTTTCAGTGTAAGCAGTTTCACATCATGATTAACTCGTTTAAAGCGGGATGGGGCTAATCTACTTGATTGTGGTTTAGTTGAAATTCTAACTCAACTATATATTAGCGTAATTGATCTTTCCATTCTATAGGTAAACTATTATTGATAATTTAATCAAAATATTTTAGATTGGCGTGAGCTTTTAATTGGAATTTCTTATAAGTAAGATTGCATGTTTCTCGTACTGTCTCTGTTCAGTCTGATTCATATTGAGGAGATTATTATAGATTGTTGAGTATAGCTCATATTATTGAGATAATTATGGATAGAGATAATTCTTAGTTTGTTTAGGGTAACTAGAGGTTAGGATTTAGGTAAATTTGACTCTAGTATTATATATATATATATATATATATATATATATATATATATATATATATATATATATATATATATATATATATATATATATATATATATATATATATATATATATATATATATATATATATATATATATATATATATATATATATATATATATATATATATATATATATAACTTATAACATTGAAATTCTTATTCATAAGACAAAATAAAGTGAACTTTAGTTGCTTTATAGTCGCTGAGGTATGCACCATTAGCCGAACTGCGTTAATAAAGAGAAATTGTATCCATCGTCTTTTCCTTTCATATATCTTTAATCTATTGTATTAGTCGTTGTTCTTGAATCTTGCTGCAAAATTTAAATTAGCAAAGGTTCAATTAGACATGTAATTTTGGAATATGCTGGTTCAATAAAGTTTACATAAGGCGTTATGTGAGGCGAAACCAAACGAAGTTGAGGATATCGATTGGGTAGACATGAAGGAGAAAGTTGCATGATTGATTTGCATATGTGTTTCAGACAATGTGATATATCATATCATGGACCTGACGACTCAAGATAAATTGGAGAGTTAATATATGTCAAAGACACCGATGAACAAATTGTTTGTGAAGCAGTGACTATACTGTCTAAAGATGCAGGAAGAACTAATTTGAAACAACATGTGAATGTCTTCAACAACATAATCACTTATCGGCTGAGGCTTGGAGTCAAGATTTATGACTAAAATAATTAAATTATCTTGCTCTACTTGTTATCATGTTCTTATGACCACTTGGTGACTACTCTTACCTATAGGAAAGACACTATCAATCTTAACGTGATTACTGTGACTCTTTTCTCATTCTCAAAGAAGACAAATTGTAGATGATGGTATTTAAGGTGATGGTCTATATGTCAAAATTCGTCAAGATAATGGGCATGACAAGGGTTATGAAGGTTCTGGAAAGAAGAGGACTAAATCCAAGAATTGGGAAATA